CATGTGCCAGGTTGGCGAGGACTACGGGGACGCAGCGCCCGAGCGGCCGCCGCCACCGCGGCCTGGGTAAGAGCTGGGCGTCCGCACCCGCCCCTCTACGCCCCGGCGCTCCGGGCGGGCGGCACAGCCCTGTCCCGAGGGCCCGGCGCCGCGCTACGGAAGCCGGGAGGCCGCCGAGCCCGGGACCCAGAAGCCCCGGGGTCCCGGTGGGGGCTGCACCCTGCTCCGCAGCCCCGGGGGTGTGCCTGTCCGGCCGGGGCGAGCACCCCAGGGAGGGGCCGCCTCTGTGCGCCGCCGCTTGTCGTTCTGGCAGGCTGTGCCCTCCGTCGAGGAGGAAGTCGGCCTCCCGGTGGCTTGCTCCGGCCGATGCGCACGGAGCGAGTTGTCCGTCCGGCCTGGCGTCCGTTGAGGGCTTGAGAGGTGGCCGTTCTGTGCTTCGGAGCTGGCTTGAGCCGACTCAGATCCCCCCGCGGCCCGTGTCTTTTCTCATACCGGGGGTTCGGGTGTGCACCAGCTGCGGCGAGAGCGGCGGTGCCCCCTCCCCAGGGTCGCCCGGAGGGAGGTCTGCAGTCCGTGTTCTGTCCTCCCTGCCTCCACAGCCGTGAGCTGAAGTGTGTGAAGTGCAAGGAAGGCCCGCCGGTGGTGGTGATCCGAGCGGGAGACGCCTTCTGCAGGTGAGACCGGGAGGTGCGCAGGAGGCAGGTGCGTCTGGCCCAGCAGCGGGTGTGCCGCGTGTCTGTGGTTTTATCGCCTGCTTTAGGAAGCATTTACTTCTAACATCAATCCCAGTGACTCTGGTGCGTGGGCGGGGTCCTGGTTTTCTGAGCGGGTGCAGAAATTCTCCCATGGTCCCGCTGTGGATCTGGTGGCAGGAGGGTATCTGATCTACTTAGGGGAAAGTGCCAGAGGGAGGGTGAGGTGAGGCATGGGCAGGATGAGCATTTCGGGGCAGCTGGAACCCATCTGGGAGCAGATTTGAGCATTCGGAGATCTTGGGCAGGTGCTCTGGGGACGGTTTGTCGTTGTTGTTGTTTTAAGATTTTGTTTATTTGAGAGAGAGAGAGAGCATGAGAAGGGGGAGGGTCAGAGGGAGAAGCAGACCCCCTGCCGAGCAGGGAGCCCGATGCAGGACTCGATCCCAGAACTCCAGGAGCAGAAGGCACTTGCTTAACCAACTGATTAACCAGCCGACCCACCCAGGTGCCCCATGTTGTTGTTTTTTTTTTTTTAAGATGTTATTTATTTGAGAGAGCGAGAGAGCGCAAAAGCAGAAGGACTGGGAGAGGGAGAAGCAGGCTCCCCACTCAGCAGGGAGCCTGATGCAGGGCTCAGTCTTAGGACCCCAGGATCGTGACCTGATCCAAAGGCAGACACTTCACCGACTGAGCCACCCAGGTGCCCCCCAGCTCACGTTTTATAGTTAGTCTCCATGAGTCTTGGTACTGCCCAGAGTGTTCCCAAAGAGAAACTGAAGGGCCTGAGGTTTCCCCCCAAGCTTTCTCTTCCCAGCCATCTTTCGGGAGCCCAGTAGCCTGGTGTGTGCCGCCAGAGTGAACGTCGTAAGCGGGGCAGCCCGTGGCTTTCATCTCTTAGAGCATCGGCAGTGGTGAGCGTCCCGGAAAAGAGGCTGAGGCTGCGGCAGCTCCTCCTGGGCTCAGAGCTCCCTGTGCCCATGGGCAGCCACAGCTTCTCTTGTGCCCCGTGCAAGCTTCTGTGTTTTGGGGGCCTGCCCACTCCCTGATGGTGAGTGAGTTCTTGGGGCTCCCTTCCTGAGGCTAGTGACCTGGAGCGTGCCATTTTATTAAATACCGCATTGAGCTACTGACCACAAAGGAATATGGGGTGCTTGGTTGACCCCTCGTAGTGCTGCCTCTTCAGTGGGGAGCAGGGGGAATTGCTGTGTCTTTTTTTTCCTTTCAAAGTGATTTAGGGGGGCAGCTGCCAGTGTGGGACAGCTCTCGGGGAGCCGCATTTCTCCCCTGGTTCAGGGCGTGTCCTCGACCCTGACCTCCCTGCTGGGGTTGCCGGGAAGCTTTGAATTGCAGATGTCTGGGCCTCACTCGGGTGCATTCTGTCTGCTGTATTTGGCCTGAGTGATTTTGACCTGTGGCCGAGCCTGAGAATCGGGTGAAAGGGTTCTCAGGAATGCAGATTCTCGGGGCTCATCCTGGAAGTTCTCATTCTGTGGGTCTGGGGAAGAAGCCAGGACTGCCTTTGCATGAACTTCCCAGGCATTTCCGGTTAACGTGGTATCAGCGCGGTCAGCCAGGCTGGCGCTCTGGGGCACGGGGTATCCCCTGCTGCCTGCTCAGTGCTTCCCCCCCTCACCCCGAGAGAGAGTACTTCTCCTTGTGGGAGTTTCAGAAGGGCCTTCCGTGGTGCCTAGGGAAGGGGCAGGCTGGCCTTGCCTTGCACTTTCCTGTGTCTATCCATTCTGCCTGCTGGGCCTTCCTGGGTGTTTGGAGGTGCAGGTGGCACAGGGGCTCTGGGCCCCTCAGACATCAGGTCATGCTAGTAAGGGTTGTTGGGGACCAGGCAGGGGGACTCCCTGTGCAGCATGGGGCTGGTCCTGGGGCAGACACAGCTGGTAAAAATGCCTGAACCCTGGCTTCAGATTTGCCAGTTTCTGGGCAGAGCCTCTGTCAAGATGCTGCTTTTAAAGATGGAAGTTGGTAAGAGAAGGAAGATGGAACCCGCAGCATCTCCGGCCGCATCCCCATTGGGGTGGCACAGCTACAGCTGCCGGTTGTCTGTTGCAGGGGCTGTTTTAGGGCCTTCTACGTCCACAAGTTTAGAGCCGTGCTTGGGAAGAATCGGTTGATCTTTCCGGGTGAGAAGGTAGTGTGTTGGGGTGACTCCTCTGCATGGTCCCCAGCTGGGAAGCCCAACCCCCCAGACGCTGGCTCTCGCCCTCTCCCCCATCCCGGTGTGTGTGTGCGGGTGGTGGTGGTGGGGAGGGTGTGCTCGCTCATGGGGGTGATGCGGCGCTCTCCAGCTACGTTTCTTCTCCCGTAGGTGCTCCTGGCGTGGTCGGGGGGGCCTTCATCCAGCTCCATGGTCTGGCAGGTCCTTGAGGTTCGTCTCCCCAGCGTCTTCCAGGGCCCTGGCTGCTGTCCCACTAAGTTGCAGGCTTGGGGGCCCAGCACTGAGATGGGCTCTTGCCTGCAGCTAGTGAGAGCAGCTCACTCCCCACTGGGATGGCCCGGAGGGTTGTCGGATGTGTGTACGGCAGTGTACAAACCGGAGGCGGAGTCTGGGGCACCCAGCTGCGCCCGAGACCAGCGCTGTTGGCTGACTGCCTAGAATCCTAGTCACTGCGAACGTGTTGGTGGCACGGTGGAGGGCTATTTGAGGTGTCCCCGAGTTCATGGGCCTCCCCCTGGTCCTGGGTCCAGCACAAAACCGTGCAATACCAGCAGGTGCCTTGGGGAGCCCAAGAGGGGTCTGTCCTGGCTGGGATCAGGCAGCTTCCTCGAGAAGTTCAAGGGGGAGACCCAGATGAGCAGTGGGGCTGCCAGGAGATGTGAGGTTAGGTGGGGAAGGGGCTTTATGGGAGGGGCTGCTCGCTGGGGAGCTGTCTCCCGGCAGTCGGTGGCCCGCTCACACTGTCCGTCAGCGGGTCGGACGCTGGGCTTCTCCTGAGGGCCCCGGCTGCTGGGGAGGCCTTGACCCGGGGCCGGGACACGCGCAGACCCTCTGCATTCTGAGCGAGGGGCACAGATTCGAGGGCGGTCTGTCCTGGGGGCTCCGGTGTGTTGCTGCTCTGACCTCACTTCGAGGCCCCCGAAGGCTGGGCTGGTGTGAGTACCCATTCCCTTGGCCAGAGCCGTTTCCTGGGACCGGGGGCGCTGACGGGTCTGTTGTTCTCTTGCACTGTTAGCGGCCAGACGCACTCAGGCAGGCCACTTCTCACTGGCCAGTGGGGAACAGACTGAGAGCAGGTGTCACTGGGGCAGCGAAGACGCCAGGCGGCCACCTCGGCCCTGTCGGGCTGTGGAGCCCACGGGGCCTGCTCAGCGCCTGGTCTGGACGGGCGGTCTCTTCTGGGTGGGGAGCACCCCAGCCCCCACCGAGGGCCTCAGTTTGGACGGAGAGTGGCCTGTGCCGGGAGAGTGTCCTCTGGCTTCTGACCCGGGCTGAGTCCTGTCCCTCCTCTCTCCAGGGCCTGAGTCGAGATTCTGCCAAAAGACTGCGTTTTGTGCCAGGGGTCGTGTATGTGGATGGTACGTGCAGCCGTCGCCTTCCTGGCCACTCAGGATGAGCCCACTGACGTAGCGGACGCTGTGACCTTAATGAGGCCCGGGTGGGGGCGCTTCTGGGAGACAACACGTGGGGCCAGCAACAGAAGGACCGTTGTTCTCGCAGGGCTTTGTGGGAGTCAGGCTGTCTAGCTTCCATGGGTCAGGGGCCCCCGTGCTCGC